AACTCCAGCATTACTGATCAAAGTTAAAATTTTCTGAAAAAAAATCATATTGAAACAAAATCAACACCCAAAGAATTGATACTAATAAAGTAATAATAAAAGCATATTCACCGCCTATAAGCGTAACCCTTTAATGATGATCTTTACGACCAGCTAGTCGAAGATCTAAGATTTTGAAGCTTTCCGTAAATCTCATTCCTCAGTTGCAAATAAATAATTTTAGAGTTGTACAACCTACAAACCCGCCCCTTCACATATAGGGTAATGGGTGGCTTAGGGTGTTCTTATTCATATGAAATTAGTATAATTTTAAACTTCAAGAATAAGTAGGACATAAATTTGAAACTTTGATTGGGATTAGAATTCGACGAATCCATATATTTTCTACTCCTTTCACGATCAAATCCTTTTTCTATTATAATTCTTTATCCTAGCGTGTGGTATTTCTACTTTTGTCCTTTTTAGATGACTTATTGTGAATACTAATCTAAATAATTAAGGGTATAAAAGTCGATCAATATTTTAGGGATATTTTTATCGTTCAACATTTAGCATGGAACATTCGTGCTTTTATAATAATATAGATATAGATAGATAGATAGATATAGATTGCTTGCGTGTATGGGAGCTACCTCGTTGTTTATTCCATGTGATCTTTTACTTCTCATTGTACTCCAAATACATATTTCATCTCATAAGAATAAATACACCAGTGTATAAATATATTTTTTTGGCTCATTTCATTCTGCCGTTGCCTCTAAAGAAAATGCATTTAGAAATAGAAATAATCTGCCGTAAATTAAAATCCGAAGGATTGATCTGAACTCATTCTAACCTCCCTCTGTTTTAATTTAGATACACATTTCGCTTATCGAGATCAATTTGACTAAACTTCAAAGCTAAATTAAATTAGCTCAACTCAATATTTTAAAATTAAAATTTAGATATTCAAAAATTATACGAAAAATAGTAGTTTTAATTTTTCTCATGTTAATATAATAAAAAAAATATTTTAAATTATTAGTCAAACTTTATATAATTTAATTTTGAATAAGTTAAATACGTCATTTAATTTGAATAGAAGGGAATAATAAAGATTATGGACGCATTCATTTTTAATTAAAGATCTCAAATTGGCCTGCCCTTCGTTTGGTGTCGTGTTAGGAAGAAAAAAAAAAACTCATTCTAGAATCTAGAATAGGTCGGTTATAAGCACTTTTTAGCTTATTTACGCGTTTGATAAATACCCAAAGTACTTATAAGCCAGATGCTTATAAGCTAAAATCAGCCATAAGTGATAAGTTGGTCACCCCCAACTTATGACTTTTTAGCTTATAAACACTTTTAGATCCCGTTAAAATTAGCTGGAAAAAAGTGACTTTTAAGCACTAGTGCTTAAAAGCACTTTTTAAGTGCTGGAACTTATTTTGTAAAAAAAAAAAAAACAGTTACGTGTTTAGATAAATGTTCTGAAGCTGAAAAAAAGTTGTTGAAGTGTTTGATAAACAAGTGGTGATAAACAATTTTTCTGTTAAAATGACCGAAATATTCTTAAAATCCGTTAACACTATAAACGAGGTGATTACTACAAGATTTTTAATTCTAAATTGATTCAACTAAAAAATAATTTATATTTCAGTTCACTTTCTGTTAAAATGATTAAAATTGCCCTTAAAGCAATTAACACCAAAAATATGCTTATTACTGCTAAATTCCTAATTTGAAACTAACTCAAATACAAACCAGTTTGTGTGTCTCAATTCATTGTAAGTTAAATTGACTAGATAATATTATTTTTAGTAAATATAAATTATTTGTTAAATTACATATAATGATAATAATTTGACTAAAGTTTGAAATTAAAAAAAAAAAAAACTTAAATAGTGCAAAGTATAAATATCATGAGCAATAATATCATAAATAATCATCCAATAGTAGAAACTGAAAACTCCCTCCTGGGTATAATCAATAGGAACGAAACAAGGTACTGTACCAAACATGTAACGAAAATTTCAAGGTGATTTATCTTTTTTTTCTTTCTGTATTTTGTGGTTGAATACGTGAATAAACTTTTTTGCACACAGCAAAGCTGAAAACTTTCAATATTTTTAGAGCAACAAATTAAATAGCAATAACCAGACATAATACATGTTCATTAAATCAAAACCATTTTGTTTCTGGTGTGAGTGAGAAAAATATTGGGAAAGATGAGTGATGAAGGGTTTGGGTAAGGAGAAAGAAAAGTTATGGTGCTACAAAGAAAGACAATGGTAATGGCACAAAGGGAAAGAGAATTGGCGTCAGGGCTTTAATTAGTAAAGAAAGGGTATTTTTGGATTTATAGAAAAATATGAGGGATAAGAATGTAAAGTAATTGGTCAAACATAAAAAGCTATCTCCTTGTTTATTCCCTATGGTTTTTATTTCTTATAGTTGCATATTTCACGTCATAATAAAAAATTCTACTAATTTTTTTGGCTCATAATCATTCTGATGTTGCCTCTAAAGAAAAATCTTTTGTAAAATAAAAATAATTTGCGTAAATTAATATCAGCAATAAATGGGAGTAGTAAAAAAACAATAGGCCGCCATTTGGAAAAGGCAGAAAGGAACAGGCCGCCACCATTTTCATCAATAGCCTTATAAGAAAGGAACTCCCGTTTAGGCCATAGCTTGACTCCCTCCTGTTCAAAATAAGTGATTTTTCAGCTTTTTTTTTTGTTCAAAATAAGTGATTTTTCCAGATTTCAAGAATGAATTAATTATTTTTTTCCTACATTGTCCTTGGAGTAAATAGTGTTGGAGTATGTGTTAAGAGTATTTATATGAAAAGATAGTAAAGGTTAATATGGTCAATTTTATTGCTAGTTAATGTTAAAAGGTGAATTTCTTAATTTGCGCTTTGCGCTTAAAGTCCCAAGGGACATTAGAGCTTTTTTACGCTTTTCGCCTTTGATAACATTGCTAGCTTCTGCTTGATGCCTTTTAATGTATCAACTTACTTCATCAAAAAAAGAGTTAGAGATGATTAACAAAATAATGTAATTGGTAAAAGGTCATTTCTGTCATTCTTGTAATCTCTAATACAGTGTATTTCTAATACGTTTATCATGTTGAGTTTTGTTGGCCCAAATTCAGATGAAGTTTTGAAGATTGACAAAATGAACTCAGTCATGGACCAGGTCCATCATGTGAGACACAGTGTTAATATACTTATACATGTGAGAGGCATGTGGAGAAGATAAGTATCAAGGATCAACAACAATATCTTCTGAGTTGATCGAAAAGGTTGCATAGGATAAGGTGATGAAGTCTCCTTGTGAAGAGAACTAAATTCGGATCAAGAATAAGGATTGGAGTTTGAATTGTTTTAGGACTCTAATTTGATAAAGGATCAGCAATTGAGTCTCAATCAAACTCTGATTACTAACTCTATAAATAATAATGGTTGTTCTCTTTTACAGGGTTGCACATACGCAGAAGTTAAACTAAATTGAGAGCAAAAGAGCTAGGCGATTTTGCAAGCAATTTATGTGTGATTCAAGTGTGCATTCTTGAAGCTACATGAACGAGAGTGAAGAACCAATTCCATTGTGTCTTTCTTTATTTCTAGTTCAATTGTAGTAGGTATTTTTATATTGTACCTGTCAGCTTTCATAGAAGCAATTGTATTAGGTACTTTGAGTATTCAAGTTAGAGTTAACTTGAAAGTGTCGCAGCAGTTGAGGCTGTGTGCCACACTGGGATTAGAGTTTAATCCTTAGGTTTACAAGAGTTTTGTAAATGCAGTTTTGGCTCAGTGATTTTAGTGGAAGTTTGGGAAAATCCTACTGAGTAGTAGGTCGTGGTTTTTTCACCTTTTGAGCAAGGTGTTTTCCACGTAAAAATCTCTGTGTTCTTTATTTTATGCACTCTTAATTCCGCAAACAGTAATAATTGGTATACCTAGAAGAACCAGGTTCTTCTAGAGCGAAAATTAGGTACCACACAAATCACCCCCCCTCTTGTGTGGTATTGACGTGTAGAACATCAAATTTTATTAAAATAATACGTCAATTGCAGATATCCAATACATAGATTATTCAAGGTTTAGAAGTAGCAAACAAACAAGAATAATTTCCAATTACACATTCAAGCAAATGAGCCGTAGCCAAAGTTCAAAAGCGACAGCGCAAAAAGAGCGTCAAAGTCTATTGGAGCTTTAAGCACAAAACACAACTAAAGTTGTTTCTAGTGAAGAAAAGCGTTAGTGAAGAATATATAAAAATGGAAATGGAATGCAAGAAAATGTAACTATAAACACAAACAATAATTATTTGGACAAAGGAAGAAAAATCAATAATTAAGCTGTATATATGCAGTTAATATCATGTCAATCAAGTTCAAACTTCAAAGTATTTTAAATTTATGATTTAGAATAGAAGACGTATAGAAGGCTGAATGGTGTTCTTGGTTGGATGCTAGGTTATTTACTTGGAGGTTCAGGGATCGAGTCCCACTTAGTACCTTCTTTCCTTATCAAAAATAGAAGATGTAGTGATGGGTTTTCAGTAGCCAGATTTCTTATACTAAATTTCTAATTTCTTATTCTTAATCATTAAAGTTCAACCACAGCGTTTTCTTAACAACTAAAGTGTATCATTTTGTCAGCTATATTTATTGTCTAGTCCCATAGTGAAAATGACCATGCCTTAGCACCTTGACGCCTACCGTAAAGAGCCAGTTAAGTGAAATGGAAGTGCACAACTTGAGCTTCACCAAGCTTCAGGACTTAAGCGCGCTTTAAGCTATCTTTTAACAAAGCTGGCTCTAACTGTAAATCAACTATGACGATTCAAATAGCTTGAATTTTTCCATTGTTTTGGCAATAAGGAAGTTTGGGCTACATTTCTATGCTAAGGCTCAGGTGCCGGTCTTGTTCTTTTCCCTCAAAAGGTAAGATAATTTTATAAATAAACCCGCACAAAGATCGTGCTGTAGCCACTGTACAATATCAGTAGAGGAGCAAAAAACAAAAGCACCCCGCTAAACTTGTAAAACTATTTCAGCCTCATTTACATGTTCCATTCTAACCAAAAGCAAAACAAAAATGTATTGGCCTTTATCTTTTGAATGGAGTTAGCGTTGTCTTCAAAACATCTTCTGTTTCTTTCACTCCAAATAGTCCACCATATGCACGCTGGTATAATATTCCACCATAGTAGCTTTCTCTTCCTGACTCCCTTTCTGTACCAGCACTTCAGCAAGTCCTCTGTTGTCCTTGACATGACCTACTCCAAACCAATCATATCCATGAAGAGCTGCCAAGTTGGGTGGTAACTTGGCAGTGCGAAAACATTTGCTTGTCAAAACAATACCTATCTTTTGTAGATTCTCATGTGTGAGACAAGCTTCAGTAAATACCATCCATGTGAAACAAGCAACCTTAGTTGGAGCTCTGGACCTCCAAATTTGTTTCCATGGGGAAGGCTTTTCAGGATTATCCACCTTTTGTTAGATCTTTATAGCAACAATTTACTGAAACTCCATTGCTTCTTGGCAGTGATGTCAAAGGCATGCTTAAAGCGCGCTTAAGCCCTGTAGCGAGGCTCAAAACATGTTGAGCGCTTCGCCTCGCTTTGTGGGCGCTTCAATGTAACATCAACGCTCTAAGGCTTGCCAATGAGTGCAATCCTGAAAAGGCGACACTAAACAATTGATTTTTCACTTTTTATCGTAATTTTTTCCAATTTCTTTGTCCATATATTTGTTATTGATGCTTATAATTATTGGTCTTGGATTACATAATAGATATTTTTACTTTTTCTTCAGTTGCACCTTTTTTCATTAAAGCCCACGCTTTAATTACGCTTTGCGCTTAAAGCCCCAAAGGACCTTAGAGCTTTTTGTGCTTTTTGCCTTTGATAACCCTTCTTCTTGGCTTCCATATAAGGCTATGATCAGTGTTGGATGGCTGCTGATTTGTATTCAGGAGGTTGAAAAATTCAGCAACCCTGTGTACTTCCCAATCATTGAAATTTCTTGTAAATGATGTTCCAAACTCCGTCAATTCTGTTTTCTGCTAAGGACGAAGTATTGTTTGCTGCCAGAATAAACATATCAGGTAAAAGGTCCCTCAAAGGTCTGTGACCAGCCCAGTTATACGGTGCTGGTCTTGTTGCAGTCACTCCAGTCTATAAGTTACTCAGAAAAATGCTTCATTATAAAAAAAAGAAGAAGAGAAGTTACTCAGAAAAGCTAAGTGTTGTCATCTCGTCTTTTAAGCATTGTGCATCATATGTAAACTGTAATTTTCATTTTAGTATTGTTGAACTGTAATGCTTGGACTCTACGTGTCTACCTCAAAAAGAAGAATCAGTCATAAGTTGCTGTATTGCAAAGATGCACTAAGCAATCAACTTTTGCTGCCTGTTGTGCTTCCCATCCATTTTATGCATCCTACAGAAAGTTTTCAGAGAAATCATTTCTTTTTCATTTACGGTGAAAATCATGTGACGGTAATGCCATGTTATGACAAGAAGCTTGAGGCTGCTCGTGAGGACTTTGTGTTTCAAGTGGATACAGATCACTACAGGAGAGGTTTTGGATTTGATACAGGTAAAGAAAGTTTTCCGCTTCTCAGTATTACTTTACCTCGGAGCAAAAATGTGAGAGAGCTTGCATTTATAGAGTACTTGCAGTTATTTTCCTTTCTATCTTTTTAGGTTTTGTTCTTTAAAAAGGGCACTATGTTGTTTACTCATAGTCAAACTCTTTCTCTTTGATGTAGTTAAAAGCAGTCAATTTTCAATCCTTGGAAGAGTCACCCCTAGATAAGTTGTAAGCACTTTTATACACCTTCCATTTGTTAATGCAAATCTTTACAATTGAGTGCTTATATGCTCTTGCCAATATCGATGAGGAGGGCCATCTTTATGGGGTTCACGGAAGCTCTGGAGGATATGCAGATACCATTTATCTTCATGCTGCTAAAGTTCTTTTATTAAAGGCCCTATAGCATTCAAGACTTTAAGCAACTCTGATTTCCAAGAAGTGAGCCTACAAGTAAGTTTGCTTCAGTTTTCCCCTAGGAGCATGATTTTATAGAATGCTGTGAAGACGCCCATATTGTGTTATATTAAACTAATAGCCCATTTGGCCAAGCTGCAAAAATCCAAGTGTTTTTTCTCAAAAGTGCTTACTGCTGAAACTTGGAAGAATTACCAGATTGAACCCAATTCCACCGCCTGCGGCTTCCATCTGCTGCAATGGAATTTTGATTGGCAGAGTTTGTCATACTACACCATCTTGGACTCTAGAAATTTCCGCTCCAGCTTGAAGTCTTTGCGTATAATTTGTGCCAAGTCAAGGAACTATACAGTGTGTAACTTGAATTACAGAGCTTGGGAGATTCATCTCTGACTACTCTCTTGTAACATTCATGTTTGAGATGCTGAAATGGAAGTCTGTGTCTTTTTTCTGTTATAAAGAGCTGCTGCTTGTTTTGGCTTTTATATTTTCCCCCGTGTTACGAGATGAGGAAGTTTATGAGAATGTTCACCTAATTAGATTCTAATGAAAGAAAGGTCTAGTCTAGAAGTTGCAAAGCCATGATTGACATGAGAACTCTTTGTTTTCTTTGCGCTTAAACTTTCTGATCTTTTGAAACTGAATGCTCTTTGTTAATGTTCAGGTTGTCGTTGCTGATCCTTTCAACATCCCCATCATAAAAGGCCTATACAATGAGTGGCTTGAACAGCCTGGTTCAGAGAAAGCAAAGAGGTACTTGCATACTGAATATCATCCTGTAGTGAAAAGTATCACTTCACAGTTGCAGAACTGGTGAGAAATGCAAAATATCAGCTTTTAACCGGTTGGCGGAGTGTTCCCTTCTGGTGTTTTTCTGCAAGAGCATCCGGAGAGGGTTTTGATATTACACTGCATTGATTCATAAGTGCTCGCAATCTATGTTCAGAGGGCATGCACAACAATTTTGGTCCTGAACGAGTTCACCCCATACTGTAAATATGTTGTGTTTGTACTTGTGAATTACAGAGTAGTTTAGGTTGCAATGCTAACATATTTGCCCCATCTAGATTGGAAGTTGTACTGTACGTGTCTTATCCCATAAGCTATCAAGCTTATTAAGTTGAGACACTTCATTTGTATCCATTAGGAGAGCGGCAACTTTTTGATGCCAATGGTAAATAATATCACCAGTATAAGTGTAGTCCTATTTGTATTCATAGGCTGCCTTTCTTTGGTCTGCTTTCCATCATCGCGCAAACAAGCACATACATGTTAATGTCTTTTTGGGGAACCTACTCTTGGTTTATTTTAAGCTAGACAATATGACCATTTCATTTTGAGATTTCCCCCTTTTCATTAAGCATATTTCACAAGTTAAATCATGATGCAAACTCAGATGTTTCTTTTTAAAGGCAAAGTGACACTCATCTTGAAATTCGTCGAGATTTTCATTTATCACTACCAACTTCTTTGTGTGCTGTCTGTAATGCTAATATACTGCAGTCTACAAAACTGCATAACTATAACACCATGAGCTTTGCAGCAACAGTTGTGGGACGGCTAACAAGAAGAGGAGGATCAGACATCATTTTGTCGGAAGTTTGCAACGCTACACGAATGTTTGAGGGTGATCATCTTGTGAATTTGGAACAGGAGAGATTAGAAGATGAACAGAACAGATTAACAGATTATCGAATATTAACCAATTTATGAAAAAATAACACTTAATAAAGAAAAGAAGAAAACAAAGAAGAGAACTACTTTCTATCTTCATTTCAAAAACTGATTTTGGATCAAAGATTAAACTTTTTTTATCACCAGCATGGTCCGCCTCTTCTTTTTTAGGGGAACGGGCATAAGTTGATTCTTTCGAGGAACCAGAAGCACAACACTAAACCAAGGCAGAGGCAGAAAAAGAAACGGCTACAAAGAATACAACCAAAGCAAAAAAGAAAAGAAGGTAGTAGCTGGTAAGTGCCTTCCAGAGCCGAAGTTTAAAAAGAAAAAAAGAAAAAATAGGTTTCATTAAATATGACCTGCTTATGACCAAGGGATGTGGTGGGATGAATGGATCCATCCACCTTTAAGCAGAGTCTCGGGTTCGAGTCCTGAGAATGGAGAAATTCTTGGTAGGGAGCACTTCCCCTTTGACCGGGTGTTACATAACACAAATATGGACACAAATATAGTTTAGCCTAGTTCCTTGAATAGTTGTAGAACTTTTATTCTCTAGCTTCATAACTCGTTCACCACTTTCATTCTGAACGTTGTGAGGTATTGATGGAACATGATAGAACATTCATATTGCCTTGCCCTCTGAAAAAATTGAACTTTAAACAAAAATTTTCACCTTGAGTTCTGTTTTCCTTAATTTTTCCTAAAAGTCAAAGGATTCTCGATGTAGATGCTACATAGTTGGTTCTCATCCTTCAGAGACTACGAGTGTAATAAGACTCGGTGCGTATTCAATATAGACTTGGATTTGGTGCCCCCGAGTCTTAGTATAGATTACTCGGTATGCCATAAACAGTTGAAGTTTCAGTGTTCATAATTAGTTCAAGAATACATGTCTCAGTCTAGTCCTATTCAGTATTCCAGTATTATGTAACTCGGTGTGATCCAGTATTCTAGTATCATGTAACTCAGTGTGATTCAGTATTTCACTATCATGTATTGCAGTTTGATTCCCAGTTCTTGAATGTTGAACACCTGTATTTGGGCCTGAGGTCGTAGTTTATATGCTTTATGCATACTTGGGCCTGAGGCCGTAGTTTATGCTTTATGCATGTTTGGGCCTGAGGCCGTATTTATGCTTTATGCATGTTTGGGTCTGAGGCCGTAGTTTATGCTTTATGCATGTTTGGGCCTGAGGCCGTAGATTATGCTTTATGCATTTTTGGGCCTGAGGTCATGGTTATGTATACGTAAACTTGGGCCTGAGGCCGTAGCTTGTGCACATATATATATTGGGCCCGAGGCCGTAGCTTATTCAGATAAACAGGTTAGTTCATCATTCAGAAGAGGGAGTATTCATATCCTTACTTCCTTTGTTCAGTTCAGTTATTAGTTATCATTTCAGTTATCAGTTCTCAGTTCAGTTATCATTTTAGTTAGGCGAAATACATAAATAACCCCTTTAAGTTGTCCCCAACGATCATTTGAACACTTAAATTAACCTACAGACCATTTAGACACTTTTATTTGATAGAAGTGTGTGCCTTTTAAACACCTTGTGCTGACATGGCAAATTAATTGTGCCTCACTAAGCATTGAGCGCGTGAGGACTCTAAATAATGTTGTTTTCTTTTATTTTCAGCTCAAATTATTTTTATGTGTGGCCCACACCACATTTTCCTTTTTTTTTTCTCCAAAAAATTTTCACCATCTCCCCCAAAAATTCATCTCCACCAACCAACCTTCTTTCACCCTAACACCAGCGACTCCTACTCATTTTAGGGCCACCATCTGCCATAAATCCACCATAGGATTAAGGAAACAAGCCAACAAGCTCAACTATTTAGCGAAACCCAAGGTTGACCGGCAATAACAAGTGAAAAAATAAGAGATTTGACCCAAGAAGGGCCACGAATTTGCAAATTCCCATTTCCGGCGAAGCACTTGATTACTGCAGCCATTTTTACCTCATTGTCGTTATCGTCTAAGCTATTTTTCAAGCTCTTGAAGCTGATTCATCAAGTTTTTCTCCGATTTCTAGATAAAATTGTCTATCCGATAACAGATCTATTTATGAACCAGAGTTGGAGACAAAACCTATGTGGAATTATTCTTGATGAAGTCTGTTGGTAATTTCAAGGCTTCATATCAGGAAGATAAAAGTTAAGTGTTGTTTGGAACATGTAAAAGAAAATAAATTAAAGAGAGAATAAATGGGGAAAGATTACCAAGCTGAAGAAATGGGTGGGAAAGACGGTGAATTCTTTTCCATAGAAGACAGCAAGCTTTTAATGGAAGAATTGAAAAAGTATGTTTTACTCTTTTTTAGTATTTCTTAATTACATGTGAAATTATTTTTATTTAAAATTACATGTGTTCTTATTTAATTGGCTCATTTGCCATGTCAACAGCAAGTGTATGTCACGCATGGGGTCTGCTTGACTTAAGTGTCCAATAAATACACTTCTATCAAATAAAAGTGTCTAAATGGTCAGTAGGTTAGTTTGAGTGTTCAAATGGTCGTTGGGGACAACTTAAAAGGGCTATTTATGTATTTCGCCTTTTAGTTATCAATTATCATTTCAGTTATTAGTTATCAGTCCAGTTATCAGTTATCACTTATCATTTCAGTTATCAATTATCATTTCAGTTATCAGTTATCAGCTATCGTTTCAGTTTCTGTTTCAATAGTTATTATTTCAGTACCAATTATCAATTCTCAGTTATCAGCTTAGTTTCAGTTTCAGCATTTATAATTCTTTCTTTCGGTTGCTTTACATACCAGTGCAATTCAAATGTACTGACGTCCCTTTTGCCCGGAGTTGCATCTCACGATGCAGGTAATGATTTACAGGTTAACGATTCAGAACACTAGGATTCTCGTACCAGCTATTTGGTGATCCCCAGTTCTTTCGGGACATTATCATTACCTTACAGTCTTCAGTATTCTCAGACAGTCAGTATTTTCAGTGCTTCATTAGAGGCTTCATAGACTAGAGTAACAACTAGAAAGAGTCGCATGCTTTTCATATTAAGTCATGTGGGCTATAAATATATTTCAGAATTGTATAAGTATTTCCACACTTTGATTTATATCATCCAGACTTTCAGTATATCATCATGTGCTAGTTTATCTTCCGCATTCAGTATGTTATGATATCACATGTTGATTCAGCCAGCCAGTTGGTTCGCTCGGTCGCATGTAGTAAGGCACCGGGTGCCGTGTTACGTCCAGGCCCAGGTTCGGGGCGTGACAATAGCATACTTATATATCATGAAGCCTTGGCATAGGTAATTCATCAGTCTGTCTAAGTTTTGGTGGACAAATTTAAGTACGGTGATTAAGATAATGTATCAAGTATTGACAATTGAATATGTAGTTTAAGAAAGTAGTTACTGGTCTTTGGGTGCCAATAAGGAAACTAGATGCGTACCATTTCTCTTTGAACAACTTAGAACTAGTCAAATTATTTTTTTCCTTTTTGATAATGTTGATTTTTTACCTCTTACTAGCACAAAAACTTAAGACTAGGCAGTTTTACATGGAGAACTACCACTTTAATATATGAAGATTGATCAATGGAGACAGACGAATCTAGCTAGGATCTAAATGTCAATGGATATAGAATGTATATTATTTTATGTACACATTTACAACAACAAAAAAGTGCACATGCATATATATAATTCGAGTCAAAGCAATAGATTCAGTTAAACTCATAATTAAAATGCGATGTCGCCTTTGATCGGAGAACATAGACACTATCATGGAGCCGAAGAAGTCCCAGTTGGAAACACAAATATCAGGCATATGGATTTTACTTGAAAATCGGAACTACAATAAAGTTTTCAAGATGGGTGTCGCTTTCGGAGCTTTTGCCCTAGTAGTAAAAGCGCAACACGTGATTGTTATTTAAATGGAGAGTACAACAAGATTTGTCAGTATAAAAAAAAAAAGAAAAAGGCAAGTCCGGTGCATGAAGCATCTCGCATTCACGCAGGGTCCAGGGAATAACCGCATTCCGAGGGGTGTGATATAGGCAGCTTTATCCTGATGCAAGCATCAATGGTTAATTTCACGATTCAAACGCGTAACTTATAGGTCATACGGAGACAACTCTAACGTTTGCTCCAAGATTTATCAGTACGTACTGAAAACATTACCATTGGGAAACACATAAAAAGTGGAACATCTCAAAAACTTGCAGCAGAATATGCAATGTCGATCACTAGCAAAGCAATCGAAATCACATGCATTAACGGTCACAGCATTTAATAACAAGGGAGCTGGATAAGTATATTAGTATATTAATGTATTATGTATTGAATGTGTAGTTAAAAAAAAGTAAGTTTAGTTGTCTTTTGAGTGCCAATAAAGAAACTAGATACGTACCATTTTACTTGGAAGATCTCGTGCAGACATAGCAAGTCCCTGGCTACATGTGCATTAATGTAGAACAACTTAAGACTAGCAAGTTGTACAGGGAGAATTGTTAGGGTCCTTT